GCTCCATGCCCGGCTCTCCTGCTCCATCCTCATCTCTCCCTCTCCATCCCCAGCTCTCCATCTCCAGCACACCCAGCTCTCCCGCTGGCTCCATCCCCAAAGGGCCCCGCTCTGTCACTCTGCTGTCCCCGGGGCGCCCGGCTCTCCCACCCACTCTGTCCCTAGGGCGCCCAGCTCTGCCAGCCTGGATATCGGCATCCCTGGGGAGGAGGCTGGAGAGGCTGCAGGGCTGGAGGGAGGAAGCCAGCAGGACCGATGGTGCCGGGGGCCAGTCCCGGGCACGGCCCGGGCGGCTGCTCTGCTGCACGGGAGCCCCGTGCAGGACAGCCCTGGGCAGGCAGAGCGCGGCGCGGGGAGCAGCGCCATGCGGGAGAGATTATCTGCCTTGCCTCAGGCGGGAGGAAAGACCGGATGATCCGTTTTGACCTTAAATCAGTGCATCCCTGCTGGCTGCCTGCAGCGAAGCAAGTGGAGCCGTGGCAAGGCCCGCACAGCCTTCCCTGTGTGCCCGGCTCGTGTCCCACGGCCAATGGCAGGAGCAAAGGGCTGCGGAAGGAGAGGGAATTTCAGCGCAGCCTCGTGAGGCCGAGGCAGAACCCTGGGTTTGGGCCCTACGGCTCCTAAGCAGGAACTGCTACGGGATCCTCCGCTCTGCACCAGGCTCTGCCAGGGCCATGCCCCTCGTCCCCACGTCCCCTGCCCCGCTGTCCCTGGGGTGTTTTCTTCGCTGCAGCAACGTGATTTCCCCCCCAGGCATCCCRCTCTCTGGAGGAGAAGGTCTCTCCGCAGCATCTCTCCTTGAGCCGGTGCTGGCGGGGGATATGATATCTGAATAATTTACAAAGGCTCTTCATTAAATAGATTTATTTTTGGCAGCTTGGTTRGGCTGCTCTCCGACAGAGCCAAGGAGAAGCTGCTTGGCCTTGTTTGGATGTCACCACATGAGAACACGGGGAGATGGGGCACAGTCGGATCCGGCTCCAGACCCCAGTTCCGGATGCCGCACGGGGGCCAACGCTGCGTGCTGCCCCACACGGCTCGGATGATAATTCCCCCATTTTGGATGCGGATTTCTCAGACTGCTGTTGAAGGAGCCCATTAAAGCACCACTTATGAGGCACAAGCGGGTTTGTGTTCCCCTGGATTGAGATTTGCCAAGGCTATGCCATAAATTAGCACGTTTCCTGGAAGAAAGCAAGAAGAGGAAAAAATAAAACGGAACGTTTTGTAGCCAACCTAAGAGCCCATAAAGGAGCGTTTCATTTTCCACTTGGAAGGGAGCGACTGGGAGCAGCTTTGAGCACACAGGGTGCCCAGTCCCACGGGGACACCCTGGATCGGGGTGCRGAGCGCCCGGCTCCCTGGGGACACCAGGACGCGGTGGTGGGGATGGAGCTGCGTGGTGCTGTCACCGTCCCCGCTGCGCGGGCACCCTGCGGGTGCCGGTGGCATCGCCAAGCCCTCACACTGGCACTCGGGTGCCRTGGGGGGCCCTTCTGCCTCGTCTTTGGGAATATTTACTGCTCTCATAACTACTATTGCTGCTTGCAGAAGCARTGGTGATAGTAACACGATAGAAACGTAAACTTGTGAGGAGCCGGGTCCCATTCCCACCCAGGATGGATGCTGGAGGCGCTGGCCGCGCTCTCCCGGGAACRCCTGCTGCTCCAGGTTGTTGTGTGCAGCCCCAGCTCCATCTGGGCTGCAAGAATCGCCCTTGGCGTGAGGGAAGCAGCTGTAAGGGCCACGGAGAGGCAAGGCGGGCGCCGCGGCCCACGGGCGATGCAGGCACCTGCCCTGCRCCAGGACAGGCAGGGAACATGCCGGGGTCCCGGCGGGGAGCCGGGATCTGCCGGGCACCCCGGCCCGCGTTCCCATCCGCCCCACGTTGTTCGTCTCCTCGGCATGAGGCTGCTGTGGTTTGCAGTAACACGGAGAGGGAAGGAGCCCCGCTGCTGTATCGTTCTCTTGGAAATTAAAAACAACAACGGGGCCGCGCTGCAGCGGTTGTGACGTCCAGGATGATTTTTAACGGGAAAATGCACCGAGTTGTAATGAGGGGCAGAGCTGGTGCCGCTGTGCCAGGCCGGGCCGTGGGGACCCCGCTGTGGGTCTGGGGACAAGCGGCATGGCTGGCACCGGCCCTGCAGTGTCCTGGCTCCTGTGGGATGGTGGACGGGATCCTGAGGGATGGTGGATGGGATCCTGCAGGATCCTGTGGGATGGTGGATGGGATCCGGTGGGATCTTGCGGATCAGTGGATGGGATCCTGCAGGATCCTGTGGGATGGTGGATGGGATCCGGTGGGATCTTGCGGATCAGTGGATGGGATCCTGCAGGATCCTGTTGTTTGGTGGGTGGGATCCTACAGGATTATGGAAGGGATCCTGCAGGATCGTGTAGTTTGGCTGGTGGGATCCTGCCAGATCCTGTGGTTTGGTGGGTGGGATCCTGCAGGATGGTGGAAGGGATCCTGCAGGATCGTGTGGTTTGGTGGATGGGATCCTGCAGGATCCCGGAGGATGGCGTGTGGGATCCTGAGGGATCCTGAGGGATAGTGGATGAAATCCTGCAGGATCTTCTGGTTTGGAGGGTGGGATCCTGCGAGATCCTGAAAGATAGTGGATGGGATCCTGG